CGCCTGCTACTCTAACTTTTTCTTTCATATCGATAACCTTAGTTTATAAAGAATAAATTAGAAAACAAAACGAAAAAGCGGTCAACAATCGAAATTAAAAAGATTATTGACCGCTTGGATTTTTGAACGCGGATTTAACGAATGAGGCGGATAAAAATGGATTTTTAGGATTTATCCGTATCAATTCCGCCTGTTTCTTTGTATCTGCGTTTATATATTCAGGTAAATAAAGTTAATTTATTTACGGTTTTTCTTGATTATCATCGCCGACGATGAAATCTTTCGTGCCTTCAGCCCCTTTTTTCGTGGCATACCAAACTTTTTTGGAAACCCATTTCGTGCCGTCCCAAGTTGTCGTCGTCAGCCACTTTCCGCCTTCATACGATTTAACGGCGATGTTTTCAGTCACGCCAACCGTGTAGCCGCCGATTTTTTTCGCGCCTGAACCTGTCGCTTTGGCGGCATCGACCGTGACATCGGCAGCTTTATCGACAACTTTCGGCGTTGCTTCGACGGCATCCGCCGCTTTGTCGTCTGCTTTGTCATAAACATCGGTTGTGACATCGGCTGTTTTCTTTGCTGCGTCAACCGTTACATCCGCCGTCTTTTTAGCCGCGTCAACCGTTACGTCTTTTGTTTTGTCTGCCGCTTTTTTTATCGTATCGATAACCTGCGCGTTTGTCAGACTGTATGAAAACAATACTATCGAAAATACGAATAACATTCGTCCTAAATTTTTGAATTGCATAATTTACCTCCGTTAATTCCGAAATTGATCTAATTTGTTTCAATTCCTTAATCCTTAAATGCACATTCAATGCCAAAAAAAAGAAGACACGAAATTGTGTCTTCTTTTAACCGGAAATTTTCTGTCTGAAATTAATAAACGATTTTCTTCGTGCGACTGACTACTTTGCGTCCTGTTTTATAGGATTTCTTGCCGGTCCATTTCGTCCCTTGCCAAACTTTTTTGGAAACCCATTTGGTTCCGTCCCAACTTTTGCGAACGACATATTTTCCGCCGGCGTATGTTTTACGCGCAATTCCTTTTCTTTTCTTTTTAACCGTGACTTGCTGTGCTTTCACGGAAAACGGATTGTCGGAAGAAATCGCTTCGCTGAAAAAAACGACCGAAAACATCATTACTACTGCAAATAAAACGCTAATTCCTTTTTTCATATAAATAGCTCCTTAGATAACTTTTTAATTTTATATCAAACCTCTCAAAGTGTAAGATTTTGATACATTTAATTACTACATTTCACTAGTTAGCAAGCCCTATTCCAAAACTTAATTTTGCGAACGCACGTTGGCATTAATGAATTTTACTATGTCTTCGGTCGAAGTTCCGGGCAGAAAAACTTCCGAAACGCCTTTTTCCTTCAAAACCGAAATATCTTCCTGCGGCACGATTCCGCCGACGAGCACCAACGTGTCGTCCATTCCGTTTTCACGAAGCAGATCGACGATGCGCGGACAGAGCGTATTGTGTGCGCCCGAAAGTATTGAAATACCGACCGCATCAACGTCTTCCTGCAAAGCCGCCGAAGCGATCATTTCGGGCGTTTGGCGTAAACCCGTATAAATAACTTCCATTCCCGCATCACGAAGAGCGCGGGCGATGACTTTTGCACCGCGGTCGTGACCGTCAAGTCCGGGTTTTGCGACCAAAACTCTGATTTTTCTATCATTCATAATTTTTTTCTAGTAGCGAATTACGAGTAAATGAACTTCTTTTTACCCGCCACTATTTTACTATTTAACGAATTGACCGAACAAGCCCGTCGGTTTGATAAACGGTTTCAATTGTTTCCAGCTTAACTGATAATTTCCGCTCGGTTCGAGTGCTTTGATGACGTGCGGAAAGCCGTAATCGTATTTGAAACTTACACCATCGTCATTAACCGAAAAGCCTTCCAAATTAATCACTTCAAAATTAGTGTTCTCAAATAATGATTCAGGATTCGGTTCGTTAAAATCCTTATCCTTTTTAATTTCTTCGATGGCGGCTTTAACTTCTTCTGTCTGTTGCTTTTTAACAACTGCCGCCAATCCTTTCAGAT